TACATTGTCTCTTAGATTTATAATTACAAGTATTAGCGTAAAAGTAGAAGTAGAAACAACAATTGAAAATGTGAAAGTGTAATCTTAGGCACGTCATACATTCACTCTAGGTATATACCTAATCTCATATCAAGCTCCTTGTGGAATCGATCCCGACTCGCGTTGGATTTTTATTATTGCATCGACCGCCTCGCAACCTAAATTAGTAGTGTGAGTTTGGGCGATATCAATTGAGATATGTGATCGCATAAGAGTGAGATGCGGCCGCACTTTCTCTAATTATGCGGACCGCACATTTCTGAGTGCGGTCGCACTCTTGCTCTTGAACTGGATTTGGACTTCATTCTGCGGACCGCACATTTATAAATGCGGCCGCATTTTGGCATCCTGCGGCCGCATAATAATAGTGCGGTCCGCACATCTTCAAGCTCCCAAACTATAAGTCTCTGAATCTAATCTTTTGCGGTCGCACAATAATTGTGCGGTCCGCACTCTATGAAGAAATTTTATCAGTGCATTTTCAGAGTTTGCGGCCGCACACAATATTGTGCGGTCCGCATTGTAGCCCTTTTTGTCTTGTTTTGGTTCTTGCCCAATTTTACTCCTTTTTGAGTTAATTTTTACTTTTTTGGCTCGTTTTCCAATATTCCTGCAAGAAAGCACATTTCATTAGTTCTCGGAATACCTTTAGCATTTTTGAGCAAAACGTAAGTAAAAGAGAGCAAATAAGCGGTCAAAATTCCTACTTATCAACTTTCACACAAAACTTTGTAGAAGATATACATGTCATTACTAGAAGCACAAACTTATCGGGAAACCCAAAACCTCTTAGAGCTTCTACCACAAATTCCCAACTAACCATATCATAGGCTTTCCTAAGATCAATTTTCATCAAATATCTATGTGAAGTTTTCGTATTATAATACCTAATCAAATCATGCCATATTAAGATATTGTGTACCATAGATCTTCCTTCAACAAATGCTGCTTGGTTTTCTGCTACTATGTGCCTAATAGCTTTCTTTAGTCTCCTGCGAATTATCTTTGAGATACATTTGTACACAACATTGCAACATGAGATAGGTCTATATTGACTGACATTAACAGAAACTTTCACTTTGTGAATGAGTGCTATCATTGTAGAATTAATTTGTGTCAACAACTTTCCATCGTAAAAAAACTCCAAGATTGCTGCTGAAATATCCTATCCAATTACACCCCAAGCAGCTTTGTAAAAGCCACTTTCATTGCCATCTAGCCCTAGACTTTACATCCTTTGCAGTGTATTTCTGTAGTAGTTCCACATGCTGCTCCACTGATAAATGTGTACCCATTTTTTAGCACCCCTGTATTTGCCTTGAATCTTAAAGACTCCTTCTTGCCCAACAGATTTTCATAATACTCCACAAAAATGTTTGCAATAACTCCTGGATCATTTTGAATAACATTCTGATTGCCTTGTAGTTGGATAATAGCCTGTTGCAGTTTCCTGTGTTGTGTTTTCTTACTGAGAAAAAAATACTTAATGTTGTCATCACCAAGTCTGATCCAAATTGCCTTACTTCTTTACTTCAAAAACATTTCAGCCATGTACAAAGTCCTCCTAAACTCTTGTATTTCATTTGTTCTGTTCGTTGCAACTGTTGATTCAAAGGGTCATCTTGCAAATAACCTTTGAGTTTAAAATAATTTATCTATATTCTTTTCCTTTTCTATTATAATGTTCCTGAAATACTGACCATTTAGATCTTTTAAGCTTTTCTATCAGAAGTTTCAACCTTTTAACGGCTTGTAGCATCTTGCAGCCCACAATGTCAATGCCCCACACATTCTCCACCCTTTCTAAAAACTGAGGATGACTTGACCATACATTATAGAACTGAAATGCCTTCCTGGTTCTTAGAGGACCATTTAGTACTGCTATTTTCACTGTACAATGATCACTCAACCCTTCTGGTAAATAAGTACCAACACGACGAGCCATTATGTCTATCCATCTATTATTAACAAATACCTAATCTATTTTAGAGAATATTTTATGTTCACTTTGCTTGTCATTCCAAGTATGTCTATTTCCATAATTGGGAAGCTTAATAAGTTCATAAACTTCAATGCTTTCCTTAAATTCCAGCACCTTAGTGTGACTAGGTTCCAACCTATTCTATCTTACATATCAAGGACTGAGTTGAAATCCCCTAATACCATCCAATAGCTATTACATACCACCATTTATCCTTCTTAATATTTCTATAGTTCTCTTCTTTCACTTCTGTGGTTATAAGCATACATACAAGTTATATAGAAACTAGTTTGTTTAGAAATACAATCTACCCTACATGTTATAGCTTGAGCCGACTTTGATAAAGTAATAACATGATAAAGGTCTTGCCTCCAACTAATACAAATTCTACCATTCTGATGTTGTTCCAGATTGGTAATGTATTACCAACCTCCAAACATACTATTTACTATATTATCAACTCTACTTTCTTTCACTTTTGTTTCTAACAGTCCTACTAAGCCAACACTTCGTTCATTACAAAGGTGTATGACCTTCTTTTGTTTGTTAGGGGCATTGAGACCCTTAACATTCCATGCAAGTATATAAACCATTATCTAAGGGAGGAAAATCTTCTCCTCCCTCATTTATATCATGATTTACCCGCTTCTCTGCTTTAGGTTCATCTTTCCCAGTGTCTGGAAAGAATTATGTCCTACTATCACCTAATTTTGCTTTGCTAGTTGTGGGTTCTACCTTGCTAAATATCTATTCACAGGAGTGACCCATCTTGATTGTGATGTAGTGGCTTTATCTGTCTGCTTGGTTTTTCTATGCACATTATATGTTATTCTTGTTGTTTTACTAACTTCCATATGCTTCTTGCCTTTCACTTTCTCTTTCTCTATACCTTGTTGTTGCTCTGCACCCGTATTTTCTTCTTTACCATGATCTGACTGTGCCCCCTACTCTTTTGGCACAACTAGTTTTGGAGCTTTCTTTTTCCTACATTCTTCCTCCGAATGTCTATACCTATGACATGATTTGCATAGGATTTCCTTCTAGTGATACTGTATATTTTGTTCTATGACCATCCATTTTCTTTTCAGAATAGAACTGTATCTGATAAATTGGAATCCATTTCAACTTCTACCAATATCCTAGCAAAATTAAATTCCACCTTGTTTTCAGTGTTGTGATCCACCATTAATGGCCTCCCTGCTAAACTCCCTACCTTACTAAGTCATTTCGGACTCCGATACTTGAAATCAAGTCCGGGTAATTTAATCCACATGGGTACCGTTTGCGGTTCCTCTTTTGTGAATTTCATGTCAGAACTCCAGGCTTTGATATTGAATGGCTTGTTCTCAAAGTGGTAAATACCTCCTTGGAGAACTTCATTCTTCCCTTCTTATGTGTCAAACCTTACTAGAATTATCCACCTTTTAGCATCGCAATTTTGTAGATTCCATGATTCGCCCACATTCTTTGAATGAACCCATTCAATATAGAAAATGAAGGATGTGCTCCAAGCATATAACAAATTACCGCAGTACTCCAATAATCTATATTTGAATCAATGCCATCCACATCAATGGCACATACATTCGTTTCTCCATGTACTTCTAGTTGAACATACTGTAAGACACGAGGTCACACCATTGACAAATGCTATTAGTTGCATGAGTACCCTCATAATTTCAAGTTTACTAAGGGATTTGGTCTTTTCTGGTATTGTATTTCCCAGTGTGGTATCTCTTCTGTTGTGTGCCCTCTTGAAATGCATGAGAAACTAAAAGTCGGTGAGGGCATTGTCTTGCCTAATCCTGAAAGCTACAGGTGTTTGATTGGGAAGCTGAATTTCCTAACCGACACTAGACATTATATTTTCTTTGCAGTCCAACACTTAAGTCAATTCATGCAAAAACCATGTCTCCCTCACATTCAGGCAGCTTTACATCTACTTAGATACCTTAAAGGTACCTTTAATTTTGTTGTATTTTACAACTACTCTCCTGAGCTCTCTCTTAGTGTGTACTAAGATAGATGATTGGGGGCCTAACCAGACGATAGAAAGTCTGTCTCTAGTTTCTGTATACTACTGGGTGGAAGCTTGGAGGGATGGAAGTCCAAGAAATAGTTTGTGGTCTCACTATCCTCTATAGAAGCTGAGTACATGTCTATTATCAAGGCCACTACTAAACTCACTTGGGTTTCAAGGCTTCTTTGTGACCTTGGTGTTGCAGTTCTTTCTCCTATTTATTTATTTTGTGATAATCAGGCAGCCATCCACATAGCAAAGAACCTAATATTTCATGAACATACCAAGTACACTGAGCTTGATTGCCATTTTGTCATGAACAAGCTCGCTGAAGGTTTGATTCAGTTATCGCATACTTCAAGTGCCACTCAGTTTGCTGATATGCTCACTAAGCCTTTGACTGGTGCACTTCATCATTTACTTCTTCGCAAGTTGGGGGTTATCCCACGCTCCAACTTTCCGGGGTGTTGAGATATATGCTAATGACATTACTTAATTCATTTGTTAGTCCATTAGTTATTTCTAGTATTGGGCCCCGAAGCCCACTTTATATTTATTCAGATTATAGTTTATAGGTGGGTCAGTGTTTTACTTTGGGCTTCTTGGATATCCTGGTTTGTATAAATAGTGAGGCCAAGTCTATTGTAAATATTGATTTTCCTCTTTCTGAAATAATAGGTCCCCGATTCTTTCTCAATAGCTCTCTCAAACCCTAATCATGAATTCATTGATTTCTTTCAAAATCACAATTTTATTAGGATTCATATCCGAACCAGTGCTTTTCTATATTTCTCTTTGTCTAAGTTGGAAGGAAAGGTATCCGCAATAACAATTAGAGAGAGATGAAAAATTGGAGATAAATCTTTCACTTGTATGTTGTGTTTTCTAACAATAACTACAAAATTATTTATCTATCAATGTGTGGTCAATTATACAGTTTATGAAACAAAATTTGCAAGATTAACAGGATTTCATATTTAGGAGAGAGCTTCTTGATCTATTCATGCGCCTAAATAATCCTTCCAAGCCATTTTCAAAGTTGTCAAGGTGAGCCTCAAATGATTCCAGCCTAGTTTCCAAGTTCATTTTTTCTTCTTGGCCTACACATGCAATTCTTCCCTTGTTCACAAAGCTTGAAACCAATGACAATTTAGATGATTTTGGCTTCAAAAGTGGAACAGACAAGAAAGACAAGAACATTTGAAAAATGGAAATGCGCATTGCATTGGCCTCTGTTAGTGTTTTAATCATATCTACTGTGTCTTGATCTGCATCTTGGGATACAAATCCCTCAGTCTTCTGATCCATTTTCTTTAAGATCAAGACTAATCTTTTAGCTTCCTTCTTTATCTTCTTGTTGAAGGTGGTGAATTTGGTAATACTGGTTTCTGTTGTCGAATCTGTTTTTCTCTTTCTGAGAGAGGATTGAAGGTCTCTTACATTTTCTTTATATTGTAAGACAAGTTCCATTATAGTGCCACACAAATCAAGAAGCCTCACGGATTTATCCAATAAATCTTCAACCAATTTCCCTTGTTGATATTGAGATAGTTCTTGAAGTGTTTGAGGCAAGTTAAGTAAATCATTCATGCACTTGTATAACTCCTCTAGACCGAGTAGACCGTCGTGCATGGTCTCTGCTGTCGATGCAGTTGATATCTTCAATGTTTTGAGGTTATTGACTGCCTCTTCAACTTTTTGAGTGAAATGTGATCTAGGCAAACTGATTGATCGAACATGTTTGGATTTTGAAGAAGTAGCCATTGCTAGTGTTTTATTTTCTTGAGAGGAAACTCTATATTTATGATGTGCAATTAGACTCAAGCAATGTCATTTATAAGGAAAATGAATCTTATCATAACATGAGATTTTTCTTGGAATTTGGTAAGATGCTACATATTTGGCATACAAGGGCTCTAGTAGTTAATTTCCACTTCTCTAATCTTAATTTTTCTTGAGATTTTGTCTGTAAGTACATGGTTTTCCGAGGTGTTCTTAGCTGGAGGAGCGCAACAGAAGGAGATGGCATCTATAATAATAAGTCATAATCTTTTCATTATGGAGATTCACGAATAAATCTACTATTATATGTGTGCATGTTTGGATGGTTGGCCATGTGTTTTCATGATATTATTATCTGTACCTCTTTATTACTTCTGGTTCATTATTAGATGTCTATTCAGCTTTACTTAGAGGCCATTTGATCATGGATTCTTAGCTAAAAACTATAACTTGTTACTTGGCTAACCATCGTACCGTAAAAATTGGATAGGTTCGATTTATAGTCATTAGGACCTCCTAAACTGATCTACTAAATTTATCAAGTTATTCCAACACAACTATCTCCGTCCTCAATGTGCCTATGATGCAACACCTGACGGGCTGTTAGCTAGTGTGTATCATCTTTCAAGAATAGAGGATGGTGTGGATCAACCAGAAGAAGTATGCATAAAAGTGTTTGCCTCCAGGAGGAATCCTAGAACAAGTAGATTGGCAATGAATTGTACTGGTTCATTTGGAGATGCATCATACAATAATGAAATGAAAAATAAGTATTAGAAAGATTTGAGATCTAAACAAACAGAGAATCACATTATTTAAATAAGTAATGAATTGATAGAGTGGTTAAGAAATATTGTGAAGATATTAGCTAATTAGTTGTGCACGAGTGGCTTGTGCAGATGATTCCTTCCATGTCTGCTACCAACAGAATCCTTCTGGAAACTATAATCAAATTAATGCTTAATACAGCTGCCTGCCAAGTTGACTTCCATTTTATTTTAAGAAGCAAAAGATTTGTACCTGATGAAGGTATTGGATAAATCATGAAAATTGTGTTGAGGTGAATTTAAATTGATTTTGATGATTAACAAACAGTTGTCAAAGAACCAGGTCTATTAAAGATATACTAGTATACTTACCCGCGCGATGCGCGGATAGTTTTAAACCAAAAAGAGCATAGAGAAATATTAGAAAGAGATATATATTGCAAACTATATTTATTGGCTGCATTAAAAAAAATTAAACGAAAAGAAAAATAGGTGAATCCTATCGGGCTATCTCTATGAATTTGTTGTTAGGGCTATCTAAAGATGTTCATATGAAATGAAGGGTCATTTGTTTCCTCAACAAATGTCTTTTGAGTAAATGTCAGCCTCAGGTTGTGTGCCGTAGTCCTCAACTTCAAATTATTTGGTCCGACTACAAAGTAGTTCATACGATATAAGCGAAGTTCATGTATCTTGTTCCTAAAAAACTTAACAACTTACTTTCCGATTGAAGCATGTATATGATCACCCTACAAAATCAGATTCCTTATTAGTGCACAATTATGAAGCCAACAATTATAAGATC